GCGATGCTCTCACAGCTGCCTCGTGGTTAGCCCCATTTCAGAGGAGGAAAGAGCCAGCCCACGAGGCCAGCCACCCCTATGATGTGACTTGACCCCTGGCCACAGGTGTTGCACCAGTCTGCAGGATAGCAGACTCTGACTTGTCCCTGGGCCATGAGGTTGAAGAGATGGACACGTGGCCCTGGGCCACTGCCCATGTGTTACAGCCCTGTGGCACTGTCCGGCTCCTTGGCCTCTGCCCAGCCTACTCTGCCCACTGGCCAGATGCTGCATGTGCTGCGTCCCCTCACCTTGCCTGTCTCACCTGCTGGAGTGTCCTAGCTGTCCTGTCACCCAGCTCAGGTGCAGGCGCTGAGCATACCAGCTGCATGTTGCCGTGGCTACCTGGCAGGCCCAGGAGGGCGGAGGACCAGATGAGGAGGCTGCCTAGAGCCCCAGCCGCCCTCCCTGCACTGGGCGCACACAGCTGGTGGGACGGGTGTGATTGGTGTGGCTACTGTCAGCTATGGGTAGGTGAATAAAATAAGTAAACAGAATTTGGCTATTCCGTTAATTGCAATTGTAGGTAGATGGTGCCAGGATCCTAAACGAGGAGAGAGTGTGTGATTGAGACAAATGCAGTGGTGTTTTCTTGTCCGTAAAAGCAGAGGAAGCATACCACACGTGTGTGCATGAGCACACACACACGCCGAGGTTTTATTATGTCCGTGTGAGGTGGCTCCGTGGTAGCAGTGAGGGGAGATTCTGTGGGAGCACTCAGGAGTTCTGGGTTTAGAGGGATCAGAAAAACGACTGCACGATTCCAGCCTTTGCCAAGTGCTGGTGTCGGCCAGTTTCCCACGGCCTCCTGCCTCCGGCTGCCTGTGCCAGCATGTGCAGCTACAGTGCCTGGCCTCTAATGCTGCTCTGGGCCTGCTTGATGCCCCAGAGGGCTCCCTCCTGGGCAGCCCCTGATCCAGGTGGGAGGGTATTAGGGCTTGCAGGTCCCTTGTCCTTAGGCCCAGGATTGACCTGTGTCACTCCAGACCACAAGGCAGACTTCTGCCTGGGAATGGCTCCCACCCTGTCTCCAGGTGTATGTGGGGGTTGGGCCTCACTGGGATCTGCCCAGTGCCCAGGGCCATGTGGTGATGGCAACCAGGGGGATCCCTTCTGGGCCAGCTGCCCACCTCAGATCACCCTGGCACCATGGGCCCACTATAGACGCACGGTCTAGGTCCCACCTGCCTGGTTCTGCTATCACTGCAGGTCCATTTTGGGCCCCTCATCCCTCTGTTTCGCACAGGGCATTGGGTGCTGGAGGGGGGGACGTAGCTGGGAAGCCAGGCCTTATTCCTGGAGAAGGGGATGAAAGCAAATGCTCACCTTCCTGAGGGAGCTCCTGCAGAGGGCCTGGGGCCTCGGGGCACCCAGGGCCACAGGGCTGTCTTCAGGGCACAGGGGCCCATTCCTGATCCTCCTGGAGGCCAGATGGGGCTCCTCCGCGAGCTCGTGTGGAGGCCAGATGGGGCTCCTCCGCGAGCTCGTCCACCTGTGCTCTGAGCAGCACCAGGAGATCCCCACAGCCACGCTGGTGTCCTGGCCTCCTGGAGGTGGCCTGGGTTGCAGGCCTCGTGTGGGGACAAGGAACAAGGAGGTGTCTGTGGCCTCAGGCTCACCATGCGGTGCCTGCAGGCCTCTCTGTCAGTGGAGGTGCGACCTGAGGCACCCTGGCTGCTCTGCTAGCCCCAGGGCAGGGCGTTTCCATGGCAGCCTTTTGTCCAAGATGGTTGGTGTGCAGTGATCAGGGAGCCCCGCAGAAGGAAGGAGAGATGACGGGTCTGAGCAGTGTCCTGTAGAGAGGGCGGGGGCGGGGCACGTGGGACTGGCCTTGCTCCTGCACCGCCTCCGCCCTGCCTGCTGAGCAGCATGGTGAGGAGAAGGGAGCCCGGGAGGGAGGAAGGGGCTCTTCCTGTGAAAGCTCGCGTGGGACTCCAGGCCGGCCAGTAGAACATCTGGTGTGGCCCTGACGGCAGGGGTCAGAGCCCTTGCTGGGGGCAGTCTTGGTCACTCTCCTGGAAGCCACTGCCTTCTTGCAGCCTGTGTGTGTCCCCCGCACCAGCCCTGGGTGTCTTGTGTGTCCCCGCACTACTGTGGAACAAATTAACTTCCCATGTGTCCAAGCTCATGCCAGTGGACAGTTGTCACTGTTCCCATGTCCTTTTCTGCTGAGTTCAGCAGGGATAGACTGAGTCCTTGGCTGTGCCTGTTCTCTGTCCTCTGTGACAGAGCTTGCTGGGGCCCTGACAAGTGTTGTGGGTGTGGTTAGTTGGGCCCGTGGGGACCTGGCTGGGGCACCCACAGCCCATGATGGACAGAGATGGCCAGGCAGTGGCAGCCAACATGCAGCCAGCCCTAGCCACAGCTGAGGGCACCCCAGGCTGTGCAGAAGGCCTGCAGCAGCCACAGCACACCCATGTAAACTGGACAGCAGCCTCAGCCACCCCACCTCCAGTGAGCTCTCCGAGACCCAGAACGAAAGCCGTTGTCCCCTGTTGGTGCGTCAGGGGTGGGACCTGGGGACACCCAAGCTCGTCCCCCCGCTGTAGGGTCGATGCTCCCAGGCAGAGAACAGCTAGTGCAGTGACCCTGAGGAGCTGTGAGGAGAGACAGGCTGGGTTGTGGGAAGGACAGCTGCTCTGCTTCACCTGCCAGCAGCCTGGGGCTCCTGGGCCACGGGGTCCCTAGGCCTGTGGTCCTGCCGTTGATTCTCCTCACTGCCCCCTGACTTTCTCCATGTCCTCTCACCAAGGCTGGGGTCTATAGGCTGGGCAGGGGCTCGGAGCCATACCTCCTGCAGGACACCCCAGCACCCTCTGCTGCTCCTGCTCGTGGAAACAAGCGCTCGTGCGTGCACATGTTAAGCCTGTCCATTCTGGCCCCTGCACCGTGGGAAGTCCTGGGCACCGCCACCTCCCTGTGGTGTGACTGATGTGTAGGTAGTGACTGGGCTTGGGTTGGCCGTGGGTTTGGGTGCTGGCTCTAGCCTTTCCTAGCTGTGTGTCCTATGTCAGGTGCCCTCTGTGCGACAGCTTGCTCCTCTGCCCTGTCTGTGGAGTAGATATTAGTGAGTGAACTGCCTGCTGGGGAGATGCATGACTTGCAGCCTGTGGAGCCCATAGGAAGGCCTTAGGAGTCTGCCACCCAGTGTAGCCAAGGCCGGGCTTGGGGCGCTGGCCTTGGCATGGGCAGTGACCAGAGCCAGGCTTGGTGCTTGGCAGGGTCAGCGCCTGCTCTTTGAAAGAGCTGTGTCAGTAACCTGGAAGTCTGCGGAGGTGGGATCAGTCTGCGGCCCGGCTGAACAAGGAGCCCTCAGCTTGACATTGACATCTCCATCCTAGGCTGCACTCACAGCCAGGAACCCCATTTCCAGAGCATGTGGTTTTAAGGAGAAGCCTAGAAACTGGCTGGGTCTGGGGCTAGCCAGCACCATCCTCCTGACTGCTGCTGGACCCTCTGGGTGCCACAGACACTAGCTGAGCCGAGAGCCCAGCCCCATGCTCCTCAGCACCCTCCGGGCCATGGCCATTCCCACAGAGCAGCCACACACCCTGCTCCATATTTAAGCCCAGTAATTGAATTGCAATTGATAGTACATGTCGGTTTAAGATCATGCTAATTGCTTCATTTCCCAGAACACTCCTAAAAAGAAAATGAATTTCCCTGTAATATTTTCAGTGGGGTGAAATGACCCTTGTGGAAATCAATCCTGGCTCTAGAATGAGCTGCAGAGTGAGTGGGCGTGCTGGGGCGGGGCTGTGGCACCCCTCCTGCAGCCTCAGCAGGCGTGAGGAGCTTCCCCGGCCTGAGAGTAAGCCCAGCCTCATGCCAGGCACTGTGTGAGGCTTAGCAGGGCTGTGCCTGGTAGGCTCTTGAGCTGGCCTGGCTCGGAGGGGACTGGTCTCCCAGGGTCTCAGCACTGGCTAGGGGAGAAACTGTCCCTGTGTGAACGTCATTCAGTAATGGTGGGGTGTCCAGGAGTGGGCACAGGGGACAGAATTCCTTCCCGGAAAGGCCAGGGTGATCCTGGGGCCTCTTGAGTCGCCCCTCCCTCCCTGTCCATTGGGGCTAGGACTTCCCTTTTGGTTGGTGCCAGCTCAAAGGTGGCAGTGTGCACCCTTCTCTTGACACAGCCTGATGTAAAAGGTCATGGAGGTATGGCCATGTCCCTTACGACCCTCATGGCCACTTGCTGGGCAGAAGTCAGGGTGAAGCTGGACAGTGTAAAGGAGGCAAAGGACCAGCGTAACATGCAACATGGAGGGACCAAGTCCTCTGGCCCTGGTGTCCGCTCCCTTGCCCGGTTCTCCAGCTTCCCAGAGCCTCAGTGCTTGGATGTCAGTGGGGCTGCCGCCCATGGCCTACTCGACTTTCATCCACCACCTGCCCACCTGCCCACCCATCCTATTCATCTATCCCACTCTGCCAGTTTGCTGAGCAGCACCTGTGTGTTGGCCCCTTCTTGCTACACAGAGGGGCAGGTGTGCTCTGTCCCAGGTGAGTGGGGATGGGGTATCCATAGGAGTGCAGCTCTGCAGGTGGTGTGGCCAAAGTGCTCTGTGCCGGACACTTTCTGGCCTGCTCCTATCAGGCTTCCACCAGTGTTGGGGACATGATGTCCTGCACTAGGCCACACGTGCCCAGGCAGACCCTGGTGCGCGTGCATGCATTGAGAAGCTCGTGGCACTGGGGTGCTTGGAGAGCTTGGGGCTTGGCCTGAGAGCAAGATAGCGGAGCATTCAGACTCTGCCCCACCTCTGACCTGGGGCAGCCTTGGCCTGAACTCACCTTTTCTGGGCCTGACCCTGCCCATTCTGGGCCCAGATTGCTCCTCTGACAGGGAGAGTGCAGACCAACTGATCACTAGTTCCCATCTGGCCCAGGGCTCTCCATACACGGTGTCCTTAGTCTCTGGGCCTGTAGCACACTGCCCCTAATGCAGCTCCATCCTGTTTCCTCAGAGCAATTTGCTGGACGTGAACCAGATCATCAAGGACTTGGCCTCCATGGCGTCGGAGCAAGGAGATGCCACTGGTGGGTACCCACTCTACCCTCAGGCCACGTAGCCCCAGCTGCCTCTTCCCCCAGGTGTGGGCACAGCTGCCTGGAGATGACGGAGGCCCAGAATGGCTTCTGCCTGGGTTTCCTCCTGCTCCACCTCTACCCTGGGCCTTGCACTGACCAGGGACTCCCTGGAGTGAAGGCCAGCTGCCTGGGACAGGTGACTGTAGCATGGCCCTGAGGATACGGAGGGTGGGGGCCTAGAGCCCCTTAGGGTCTGGTGCTGTCTCCAGTAACTGTCAGGAGCCATGTGTGCCTCTGGGAAATGGGTGTGCCTGAGCTGGGTGGAACAGGGGCAGTGGCTGGGCCTGCGGGCCTGGCCAGGGCATGGTATCCCCCAAACCCCTCACCCCAAAGGAACTGGGCCAGCTCTGCCAATGGGGACACCTCTTACATCACCTCAGAGGCCCTTGTCCCTGGAGCTGCCCTGCTTCTCAGGAGGAAATAAGAAGCAAGGCCAAGGCTGAGGCCCAGGCCTGTCCCTTGCTGGTGAGGGTTGCTGGGGTAATGTGGAGCAGGGAGGCTTGAGGGTCACGTCACAGTGTCCTCACCCACTGTGGGAGAGGGGCCTTCTCCAATAGAAGGGGCACAGACCAGAGAGGCCTGGTGGCGTCCGCCCAGGCCCTCTGCTACCCTAGCCCTTCTGCTCTGCCTTGCTGTGGGGTCACCTTTGACCTCCCCAGAGAGGACCTCCCTGTCTTCCTCTGTGCTCCACAAGTTCTGGCCCCAGCAACTGGCCATTTATATTTGGACAATTTTTTTTTGGGGGGGGGGTTTGCCACAGATTGAACTTAGGGGCCCTCAACTACTGAGCCACATCCCCAGCCCCATTTTGTATTTTATTTAGAGACAGGGTCTCACTGAGTTGCTTAGTGCCTCGCCGTTGCTGAGGCTGACTTAGAACTTGCCATCCTCCAGCTTCAGCCTCGTGAGCCGCTTGGATTACAGGTGTGCACCAGGCACACTGGACAATTTTAAGTGTTCAGACCTTCCTCTCTGCTGGGCTCTGTGCCTGCCTAGTTAGGTCTAGGGCATTTTGAACATGAAGTGGTCACTCTGATCACTTTCCTTCTGGACTGAGCGAGGTTCTGGCTCCATGGGTGGCCTCCTTGCTTGTGCAGAGCCCTGGGGGCACAGGGACACTGGTGTCATTACCCAGTGTGGTAGGGGCCCTGTGCCCACCTGCTTTGGGGCTGGGGTGCACAGGTGGGGACTTTAAGGGCTTGCTCACATGTGGGCCATCCTGTTGCCCCTGAGGTGCCAGCCTGCTCCGTAGCTTCTGCCACCCAGAGTTCTGGCCCCAGCTGCAAGGTGGAGACGCCCTGGCCAGGGCAATGGTCCCCTCAGCTTAGTTGCCCTCCAGGACCCAGACCCCTGCACTTACTCATCTGCTTCTTCCATCCCTGACAGCCGTCCCCTCACCCAGGCCTGTGCCTCTAACGAGGAGCAAGCGCCCTGAGCTGGGTGGGCCCTGGCACCCTTCTGGAGCTCTGCTGCTCCCAGGTCGGTGGAGGCCTGAGTCAGGAGCCCAAGCCTGGCAGCTGCCCTCCCTGTTGCTCCTGGACTCACCCTGMACCCCTTCAGAGCCTAGGCTTCCAGCAGGGCCTGCTCTGGGCATGGCACTTACTGAGCTGCCTCGTCACTGCTCCCAGGACCCACCCCATCCATCTTCCTATCTCCTTGCCTTCTGTTTGCCTCTAAAGTGGCCACCGCCCACTGCCCCCTGGGGCTGGCTGGCTGGGCTGGAATGTCAGAGTGTGCACAATGGCTTGTCCACCCTAAGGCCACCCAGTCCCCGTAATGGACCCATGGGAGAGCTGTGGGGAGCGGAACAAGCCAGGGCTGACCTGCACATGGGCAGGGGAGTCCCCTAGGTAGCTGGCAGGCAGGAGCTTCAAGAGTCGCCAGATCCCCAGCTGGTGGGTGTGGGTCACCTGTATGTAGGACACTGATGTGGGGACCTGTGAGGACCAGGACCAYAGGCCTGGTGGCACGCTGTCCACAGTCTCTGCCTAGTGCTCAGCCTCTGGTGCCTTTCCAGGGTCCAGCAGCAGGAAGGCCACCAGCCGGCAGACCTCCAGCCCCGAGCCAGCAGAGGCAGCCCTGCTACCAGGGGTGGGGCTGGGCACCACACCCCTGCGGCCCAGCAGCCACTCCCGCACCAAGACACGCAAACCCAACTTCAGTCCCCAGGAGACAGAGGTGCTGGTGCGGAGGGTGGCACGCCACTACCCACTGCTGTTCGGGGCACTGCGGAGCACACCTGCTCGGAAGCACCACGTGTGGAGCAGGATCCTACAGGCTGTGAATGCGCTGGGCTACTGCCGCCGTGACCTGGGTGACCTCAAGCACAAATGGAGGGACCTACGAGGGGCCGTGCGCAAGAAACTGGCAGAGAGTCCGGCTCCTGGATTGGTCCTCACACCTGTGGAACGCATGGTGGCCGAGACCTTCTCGACCCCAGCCTCCCAGGGCAAGAGCCAGGCAACAAGTAAGTGGGCCCCTCCCCACGGCCCACACCTGGCCTGGCCTGGCCTGGCCTGGGCAGTGAGCTGGCTGGCTTCCGGTGCACAGCCCCCAAAGAACAAGACTCCAGGGGAGTGCTGGGGGTCTGAGGAGACGGCTCATCCCCCTCCCGGCCCCTCGGCTCCTGGGTAGGAAACCCCAGGCCCAGGCCCAGGCAGAGGCCTGCCCATTTTGGGAGGAGGGGTCAGGTTCGTGCTGGCCCTGAGCTCACGGTCCACTGGGACTTTCCCCAGCCTTGGCACAGTGCAGCAAGGGGACCCTCAAATCTATCTCAAAAATTGAAGTCACTCAAAGCCCCTGGGTCTCATGTGGCCTGGGGGTCAGTGCCTTTGCCACCACCACTGGCGGCAGCAGCTTGGGGAGCTTAGACCTGCTGCTGGGCTCAGGGCTGCACGGCAGCTGCCACCTTGAGCCATGGCCACAACAGGGAGCTGAGTGCCTCCGTCCCTTCCCTGGTATCTAGAGAGGACACTGGGGCCCTGTGGCCCCGTTTCCCCATCACTCTAGAGAGACAAGTCCCCGGATGGTGAAGGCATGGTTGACGGGGCCTAATAGCCCTACCCTGTATATCTAAGGGGGGTGCAGAGACTGAGGTCCAGGGGCCTGGCTGAGCAGCCCAGGCCCAAAGCCCAGGCAGTCTCCAAGGCCCTGCTTCTCTCTGCCATGTCTGCTGCGTCTGGTGTGGTGTGGCTGGGAGGCCTCTTTTGCCCCAGGCCATTGTCCACTCTGTCTTCTCATGAGTGCTCATGACAAAGGTCAGGGCAGTGACTGTCCTTAGGCCACCAAGTTTTAATACCAGAGGAACCAAGGCAGGCAGCAAGCTTGGGTGGCCACAGGCTTAGAGAGTGCCCAGGGTTGATGCCATCAGATGGCAAGCCACCAGCAGGTGGAGGCTGCCTGGCCGGAGCCACGTCCAGCCACTAACCTTTGCTGTGCCTTTTGGTGTAAGAGGTGAATGCTGCTGGAGAATTTGGCCAGAGCCAGGAGGAGCCCAGGCCCAGTGCCTTCCCGCCTCAGCCTGCCTTGTTCCGGGCCTGAGGGAGCAGGACTGCGTGCCCTCCTCAGCAGGCCCTTCAGAATCACTCTGGTGCTCTTGGCCTCCCAGAACACTTCTTCTGTGGGGCTGCTCCAGGAACCGCCTTTTCCAGAAGTCTCTGTTCTTGGCTGGGCCTGTCCTGCAGCCCACACTGCCTCTGAGCCCTCCCATGATGCGGGCTCGGGTGCTGTCACCACTCTGCCTCCTCTGCTGCCCCTGCTCCTCACCACCCTGCCTCACAGCCAGGCCTGCTGGACTCTCCTCCTGGGAAGCTCTGGAAGGACGTGGGGGTGAAGCCCCAGGAGTAAGATGAGCCTTCTCAGGGCGGGAGCAGACAGCAGGACTCCACCTCAGACAGACCAGCAGGTGGTCCTGGGGGGACTCGGAGCCCCGTACCTGCTCTGCTCCTTCTCGTCTGTGGTGCCTGTTGCTGGGACATGTGGACAAGGCCAGGCCTGGGCTGGGTGGGAGATGTGTAGGTCCAGGATAGGCCTTGTGCTGGGCCTCAGGATGTACAGGTCCTGATAGGCCTGGGTAGGCCAGGGGTGTGGGACTGTTACCATCCCCAGGGAGGCCCCGTGCCCTCTCCTTTAAGGCAGAGGCCTGCGGCTGTGTTCCTGAGGCAGGCTTGGGTGCTTCAGGAAAGGGTGGGCACTGTGGGGCCTGGGTGTTCAGGTACTTTCTGCAAGTCCCCAACCTGGAGGACAGCAGGAACTCTGGAGTATACCCTGCATTCCCTGCCCTGGGTGAGGCCCAGCCCAGCTGCCTTCATCCCTGATAGATCAGCCGCAGCCCCTGTGACCTTGTAGCCCTGGGTTTACCTCCATTAGGAGAACCCAACTGAAGCTTCTCTGGTGCCCAGGAACCTCTTGTGAGAAGGCCTGCATGCCTCTGATGTTTGTTGAATGACTGTGTGGGAGGAGCAGACTTGCCCTGATAGGCACTGAGGCCAGAAGCAGGGAAGTAGCTGCAGGGCCAGCAATGGGGTGGGAGTGCCCCAGATCAGTGCCAGCCTGGGGAAGCAGGACTCGTCCTCTCTTCAGCAGGCCTGTCCAAGGGTAGCCTCTGGGGCTTAGGCAGGGCCGGGCCTGGGGGCCTGGGGAAGTGAGCTGCAGAGCGCCTGGTTTCCACAGTTTCTCTGCTCCGAGGCTGCTGAGAGGTGCACTTGCCCAGGGGCGCCTCCGGCTCTCTGCATTTGTCTTGGGGGGTGGTTGGTGACCAGTGCCATCTTCTTTAGCCCCTGGAGACCTGCACAGCCCTTGGGCTTTTCAGAGGCTGTCTGAGGCAGGGCAACTCCCACCTGCAGCGCCTGTGCCAGGAGACAGGAGGGTGCCCTGACTGCTGGGCTCCCCCTGTGGACCTGGAGCTTCAAGGCAAGGGAAGGTTCTGGCCCAGGCTTGTGAGCTGTCAGGGAGCCACCTGGTCATGCCCCATATAGCCTGGGGCTTAGGCAGGGCTGGGCCTGGGGGCCTGGGGAAGTGAGCTGCARAGCGCCTGGTTTCCACAGTTTCTCTGCTCTGAGGCTGCTGACAGGTGCACTTGCCCAGGGGCGCCTCCGGCTGTCCTTCCCACTTCCTTCTCTGGCTGCCCTCTGATGTGACAGGACACCTTGAGTTTGGGGCAGCTGCAGCCTGCCCAGAAGAGGAAGAGGTGTGCTGCAGCCCTTGTTGCCCCTTCCCTCCCCGTGCTGGGCTGTGTCCTGGAGACCTGTCGCCCTGTAGCCTGGCCTTGACTGGGGTGGGAGGGTGGAGCAAAGTAGAGACTGGGGGCTCAGGGTCTGCCTGAGTCCTAGGGGCTTCTCAAAGGTAGGGCTCCAGGGATGAGGCCGCCTTCTCTCATAGAGCAGCCGCCCCCGCTGGAAGGCTGGGAGTCGCCACTCCCTCTGCAGGCYCCATGGGGCTGGGGGCACACGCTGCAGCGGCTCAATGGCCCTCGGCCTCCTGGGCTACAGGTGGGCCCTTTGCAGTGGGTGTCCACTGCCTGATTCCCGAGGCAGGCCTTCCGACCGCTGCCCCTCCCACAAGGACTTCCGTGTCTCAGGCGAGTCCTGCCTCTGCTGGCCTCTGGGGCCTGCCGCACTGGGTGCTGCCTCTTCTTTACCCACTGGTAGAGGAGGAAATGGAGCCTGGCCTGGGCCACCCTCCTGGCCTCAGACCCAGCTCCCAGCGAGTGGGAGGCCTGGGTGTTGAGTGCCCTCTGCCCCTGGGGGCCTGAGTTCGCCCAGTGGAGTCAGGACAACGGGACGTGCCTTCTGCCACGTGGTGCTACTTCTTGGCCGCGACTGGACCCAGGATTCAACTGTCTCCACAGGGGTGGCACCTCTGGGCCCAGGCCCTGCCTTCCCAAAGCCACTGGTCCCCAGCCAGCCCCGTGCTCTCTGAATGGCCTTATTGAAACCCAGTCACCACAGAGCCCCACGTTCACAGCCCTGTCCTCTCAGCGGCACTGCAGGACACGTCCCTGAGGGGGGCCATGGCCAGATGGGAGGCCGCCCAAGGCAGGCGCCGCGGTTCTGGTTTTCCTCTTCACTCTTTCCTGAGGGGCTTTCCCCTGCCCCCTCCAAAGTCTGCTTCCCCAAGGACACTTCCAGGCCCTGGTCCTTCTTTCAAGGCTGAACACCGTCCACACCAGGGTGATCCCTGAGTGGGCCCTGAGCCGCATCCCTGCAGCCTCTGACCCTTTAGAGGCTGGGCCTCCTTTCTTGAGTGTGCCACCCACATGGGAAGGAGCTCAGGGACTCCAGGGGCAGATGCACGTCCAGCCAGCCTGGGCTCGGGCTCCCCGGGCTAGCTCAGGTGATGTAGGGCCTCCACCTGGTGACCGCCTTCTGCTGTGGTGACCTGCAGATCGTACTGCAGCAGCACATGGAGGCGGCCGGGGAGCCCGGGGCTGGGCTGCCATACCAAGGAAGTGGGTCTGAGGGTAGGAGCGCTGGCTGGCCCCGCCTTGGTCCCTTTGTCCCTCACCCATCTGTCTGGGAAGCCAGGCCCCGCCTGTGCCTGGAAGGGAAAGCCCATGGTCTTCTTTGAGTCGGGCCACTGGCTTACGTGTGGGCACTGGGAGGGGAGAAGGGACAGAGCCAAGGTCTGTGTGGCTCCCGCAGGGGTCAGCACCATCTTCTCTCATTTGGACTCCCCACCACCTGACCCCTCAGCTTCCTCACCCGCCTGGCCTACAAGGTGGTGGTTGGGAGCTGGCCAGCGGGGTGTGGGCATAGCGTGGCTGTGCTTCTGGGGAGGCCAGGACACTGTGGCCCTCACTGGCAGGCTGCCCCAGGTAGCCCTGACCCCCTGTCCCAGGAAGGCTGGCCGCTCTGCCTGTCTGCCCTTCCTGAGCGCTCTCCAGGCCTTACTGTTGGGTGCTAGCCTGTGGCTCTGCAGCTGCCTGGGGCTGCTGCTTGGAGGTGTGGGTGGGAAACAAACCTCCCCTGTGGCACACGAGCAGGACCCAGAGCAGACCTGAGGGCCACCATCGCCTTGTGCCCGCCACCATGAGGAGGGCCTGACCGCGCCAGGCAGGCTGGAGACCTTAGTCCAGCAGCCATGTCCCCTGGCTCACTTGCTCACTGTGTTCCTTGGGTCCCTGCTGGCTCCTACGAGCAGATCCTGTCCCTTGAGTTTGTGTCCTAAGGACCAGACAGGTGGGCATTCGGTCTGGACATGAGGGTGGTGGGGCACCCTGGGAGTTCAGAGGCCCCCGGGTTGGGTGGGGTGGGAGGGCTCCCCGGAGAGCACACACCTGCTGGCGACTGAGCTGAGGGACGGTCTGCTGAGTTCAAGGAGAGGCCACTGCACCCGCTCCAGTGAGGACAGTCGTGTGAGGGCTGTGACAAGGGAGGGGTAGCCACAGTGCCCTTGCTTTCCTGGGGGTCTGGGGAATGCAATGTGCCTGGCAAAAGCCCTCGGTGGCCTTGGAGAGCAGGGAAAGCAGAGCCTTAGTGGGGAGAAGGTAGAGGCGAGGTGGGAAAGAGCAGCCCTGGGCTTGCTGCCCCCAGGCTGAGGCTGACCTCCACGCTGCGGTGGGTGGCTGCAGGCCTCGGCTGGCATTCAGCAGGAAAGTGTGACGGAATGATGGTCAGGGCCTGGCCACAGCTGCCTTCCCCCATTTTCCATCGTGGCCATCAGATTCAAGGTCAGTGTGGCCAGTGATGGCTCTTTGTGATGGCTGGTGAGTGGGACTGGGGCAGCTTGTGGAAGGTCCTCCTGGGGATGGCCACTCAGGCTCCTGTCCAACCCTCAGTCCCAGCCACTTTGTGGCATGGACAGGTCTCCACTCAGGGCCCTTCCAGAAGCTTCCTGGGGTGAGACTTACAGGCCAGTGCATCAGGAGGCACACACACAGAGGACCTTGTCCTGAGTGACAAGAGGACTTGAGTGCCTAGGACCAGCTAGTCAGGAAGGATGCACAGATGCCTGGGGCAGCAGAGGAAAAATGTGACCATGGGGAGGAGGAGGAAGCAGGAGAGGAGGTAGCCGCCCCGACTAGCTCCTCCCAGTGGGCTCCTCTCAGTGGGTGGGGGGCCCAGAACTTCCCCCACTGTCGATGGGGTGAGTGGACACAGCAGGTGGTCTGCCCAAAGCCACCAGCCCAATGCCCTGCCCCCATTGGCATGGCTCTTCCACAAGCACCTCAGGAAGGGATGTTTGCTGCCCTGTCCCCACCCAGAGGCCCCAGGCCTTCCCTTTTCAGGTTAGGAATCGGCAGCCTAGAGAAGCAGGGGAGGTCCTAGTGCCGCCCATCCGTGGAGACCAGGCCCAGCTGGTCTGGGAGCTCAAGTCCTTTGGACCCTGGGAAGCGCAGCCCCCCTTCCTTCTGAGATGTCACTGTGGGAACTCAAGACAGGCGCGGGGCGGGGCTGGATAGAAAGCTCAGTGGGAAGGACGGATGGATGGGTTGATGAAGTGACAGAAAGTGGATGACAGACAGGGTAAGTGAGGGCTGAGTGGCTGGTGAGCAGGTGGGTGGGCAGGAGGATGGCTGTGGAGAGACAGACAGAGGAACGGCCAGGGTGCCAATACATAGAGGGACCCCTGGGTGGGCAGACGGGAAAGGTGAGTGCCTTTGCCTCGCGCACCTGGTCTTCTGCATCTCTAAACATCGCGTGCTAGCTGCCGAGGGGACTGGCCCTGAACGGCTGCAGGCAGGGGGCCTCGTGTGTCTGCTGCCTCCCACCTGCTCCCCTGTCGTGCCTGGTACTGCCCACTGGTGGCCAGCCCAGACTGACACTCCCCTGTCTCCCTCTGTTAGCCGACGAGGAAGACGAGGATGAAACTGCCAGCTGCCTGTGGCGACCCCTGAGGACCCCGGAAGGGCCCAGTCCACCTGAACCTGACCCCCTGGACTTCCGAGGAGCTCTCCGTGCATCCACCTCCTCACCCTCCCTGCCTGCCTCCCTGGCATCTGTGCCCCCAGGGACCGCGGGCATGGGTTCCTTTGGGCCCTCCCCACCTTCCTCAGCACCAGCATCCACGCTGCCCCTGCCCTCCGGGAGGACCCTGTCCACAGCGTCTGAGGCCTCCGTGTTTGAGCAGCAGCTGCTGGACTCCCACCTGCGGCAGGGTGCCCTGCTGGCCTCCTGGTCGCAGCAGCAGGGTGCGCTGATGGCCCAGCAGAACCTGCTGCTGCAGCGGCTGGTGGAGCAGAGCCAGCGGCTGGCTGATGGTGTCGAGGCCCTCAGCCGGACCCTGGAGCGGCTAGTGGCAGTGCGCCCAGCCCAGGAGGGCTCACCCTCCATCCTAGAAGGTACCCCTGCTGGTGGAGGGGCCTGTGGACCCACCAGAGGCCCCCAGGACAGTCCCCAGGGTGCCCACCCAGGCCCAGAGGTCTTCTCAGGGATGATCCTAAAGGTGGAGGAAGAGCTGTAGGACTGGCCCAGGGACCCCTTTGGCACCAGGCCAGGGAGAGGACAAGGACTGCAGGAAGCCTGGAGAGGGTGTGGGGCATCTCCCCACGTGCCTTTCCGTCCCTGGCCTTGGGTGGGTGTGGCAACCTGCCAGTCTGGCCTCAGCACCAACCTGCTGGGCCAGGCCTGGGCTACTCAGGACAGTGGCAGTGAGTCTGACCTCCCACTGCCAACTCCCACTTGAGCCCCCTGGGCCAGTGGCTGCAGTTGGCTGCAGGTCACCTCTGCAGGCCTGCACCAGTGGGAGGTGGGGAAAAGACGCTCAGCCTGGGGCCTCGGAGCCCTGGGGAGTGGGGACTTGGCAGCTGCACGGGCTCAGAGGGCCCGGGCTCGACTCCTTGGTTCTGGTTCAGGGGAGCCATGTCCATGAGCCTGGAGTTATTTCTCTTCAATTTTATATCAATGTCATAAATACATAAATACAAACACGCAGACATGAATGTTAATTGGTACTGCATGGGGTGGCGTGCTATTTTGTACCTGTTGATTTTCATTACAAAAAGTATTTCTCATACATAAGCACAAATCCCAACAGAGGGAAGTCCTCTGCTGCTGCTGGTAGTGGTGGGGGCCAGCAAGGGGTCCTGTTCCTGCCCTGGTGGCTGTGCCTCCGTTCTCAGTCCAAGCACTCTCACTTGGCAGTGAGTCCAAGCACATCCCTTTTCAGGACCTCCTCGCCCTTCAGCTCCCTTGGCCAAGAACTCCCTCTGTGGGCCACACCCCCTCCTGCCCCTAGCAGCCAGGGCACAGTCTGCCACCACAGATTGAGTGGCTTTGGGGAGAGAGCAGGAGAGGACAGGTGTGAGCCAGGCCTAGCCGTGGGGCCTTGGTGGCCTGGGCCTCCAGCCTGATGCTTGTGGAAGAAGGAGGTTGGGGAGAATGGCTCCCCCCAGGTCTGCTTTGTGTCTGAGCTGCAGGGCTCCGGTAAAGCACAGTGGGGGGCCCCTGGGCTGTCCACCCCCACCGTCCTTTGGCCCCCACCGGCCAGATACTGAGAAGCTGGGCGGGAGCAGGGTGGGATAGTGGGTGAGGCAGAGAGTCAGGTGGCAGGACTGCTGGTGCCTGCCTGGCCTCGTGTGTGGAAGGAGTACCAGGTGGCTGCAGCCGTGCTCCCAGACTTGGGGCTGCTGCCCCAGGTGTGAGGCAGGCCTGACCAGGGACCCGTTGAAGAGAGCCTGGGTCTTGGCCTAAACTGGAACCAAGGAGGATCAGTTTCCCAGGAAGAGCCCATCCGGGTGATGACATGACATGTTCAGGCTGACATCATCCACCTCCTAGGCTGGGCTGCATGCTCTGTCCCCAGCAGGCCACGCATTGACCCTGAGTGATGGCGGGAGACACGAACCTGTGAAGGGAAGTGAGGGGGAGGTGGCAAAGAGGGCAGTGAGCTCAGGGTTAATGTCCTAGAGCAAGGACCAGGGGTGTGGCCAGGGATGTCCAGGTGAGCGTCCATCCCGCAGGGGAAGGTCTGCCCCCAGCATGGGTGCTTAACGAAACCCTGGTCGGGACCCGAGTCTTCTAGGGACTGTGTGACCTAGAAGGAAGGGCATGAGCAGGGCTCCCAGGGCCCCCACCTGGGATGTTGAGGGCGCAGAGGAGCGGCTCGGGTTGGAGTGGTCTCCAGAGGCTGCAGTACAGGAGCTGGGGAGGACCTGTGAGCCCCGGGATCCTGTTGGGGCAAAGATTGAAAAGGTCCTGGTCTGGGGCCTCGGAGGCACCAGTGACCACGGCTAGAGACGTTTCTGTGACAGCCTGATGGTGGATCTTATGCAGCATGGCTTAGAAGAGGTGGGCTGGGCTGCCAGGGCAGCTTCCATCAGAGCAGGGAGACCTAGGGCCGCTCACCAAGTGCCCCATTTGGCAGTTCAGCAGAGCCCAGATGGCAATGCATGTCCAGGATTGGGGTGGGGGTGCGGGTGCGGGTGCTCTCTGCACCAAGTTGCTGGGCCCCAAGTGTGTGTCCCTCCCCCATCCATCCCTGTCAGGTGGATGCGAGCATTCCCAGGGTGCCACGTCCATTTGACTCCAGAGGAGGGGACCCAGAAATTGGGCAGATCTGCCCCAGTGGGCAGTGTGTTGGATGAGCCAAAGAACTTTCCGTTACCTGCAGTTTAACGTGCAAAAACTCGCTCTCAAAGTGCCTGGCTGGCCCGCTGGAGAAGGCACTGTCACCGGGGTCTCCCCAACAGCCCTCCATCCCCAATCAGAGAGAGGAATGGGAGGCAGAGGAAAGGCAGGGCCTGAGGGCCTGGCACAGGCGGGTCTGCAGGGTCCTGTCTGGAGGACATTTCCTGGTCAGGACCCCACATGGACCAGGCCCCTGAGCTGCAGTCCAGAGAAGCAGCAGCAAGACTGCATTACAGGTTACATTCCAGAGGCTCAGACACATGGTGTGATCTTGTGAATCAAAACAAAATGACAAAATCACAAAATGGGGGGGTGGGGATGAGATGGTCAGAAGCTGTCAGGTGTACGAAAGAACCACCCAGGATACCCTTGAGACATGAGGAACTGGACGGATGTGTCATTTTTTCCCTGTCACTATAATGAAACAACTGAGGCAATTTAACTTCCAAATAAGGAGGGCCCATTTAGTTTGGAGCTTGCAGTTCATGGTGAGGCAGCACACCTTGGCCAGAGTGTGTGGCCGAGGAGAACCACACACCGCAGCCCAGCAGCTGAGGTGAAGAGGAAGAGAGGGCCGTAGTTCCCTTAAGGGCACACCCCTGTGACTTCAGGACTCCCTACTAGTCCCCACCACCTCCAATAGCACTGCCCTGGGATCAAGCCTTTAACACCTGGGCCTTGGGAAGGCAGTGTCCACACTCAAACCGGGGCAGGTGAGTGCACGCGGTATTGGACCCAAGTGAGAGGCACACGAAAGGTGTTAAGGGTACCAAAGGTGCTTCAYGATCAGAACCCAGTGCACCCCCCACAGGCATCCCAGAAGACTAGCGAGGGAGGAGGCACTGTGAAGAGGGTGTCTGCACAGGGCCCAGGACACACAGACAAGCACCAGTCGGGCCCGTGGCACCATGAGGAGCACATCCTCTGTAGGCAGCTACCGAGCACCGTGGAGAAAGGAAAGATGGGAGAGGGGTGGCAGTTCTGCCCAGGAAACGGTACCTAAGGACCTGCAGCACCCGGCAACCAGCCAGGCTCCTCCAGAGCCATTCCACACGGGGAGACCAGGTGCACCGCAGGGACGTCTGAAGCGCGGATGTCAGGATGGGGGAGCAGGGCCCCTGGAGGAAGTGGGCAAGGCGGGCTGAGAGCCGAGGGTTTGTCAGCCCAGGTGACAAGAACGTCTGAAAGGACAGAACAATATCTGGACCATGGGAGGGCTGGAGCTCCTGGTGTTATTTGCAGGGAACTTTTCGCCTCCATTAATAACTCTACATGATTCAGAAACAAAACTCCTGAAGGGTTCCCTCTTCAAAACGGAAGGCTCTGCTCTGCCAAAGAGCCCGTTAAGAAGATGAAAAGAAAAGTAGCTAACTGGCAGAAAGTACTTGCAAATCACATGTCTGACAAAGGATTTGCATCCAGAATATATAAAGAGCTCTCTAAATTCAACAGCAAACAACAACAACAAAATCAGTTAGAAAATGGAAAAGAATTTGATTAGACACTCCATCAAAGAAGATATGCAGATAGCAAATAAGCACATAGAGAGATGTTCCACAGCCACCAGGGAGATGCGAATTAAAGCCACCAGGAGGTGGCCCTTCACGCCTGCTGGAATGGCTAAAATGAGACCAAGGATACAGACACAGGGGTCACTCACACCCTGGGGTGGGGTGTAAGATGTGACAGCTACTTGGAAAAATAGTTCGTTTCATAAAAAGTTGCTTGGTATGAAGTTTTTCTTCTTCTTTTTTTTTTAATAACAAGTTGATGCTTTGGGGCTGGGCTGTGGCTCAGTGGTAGAGCCCTTGCCTTGCATGTGTGAGGAACTGGGTTTGATTCTCGGCACTGCATATCAATAAGTGAATAAAATAAGGTCCATCAGTAACTAAAAAAATTAAAAAGAAAAAGAAAACATGATGCTTACAATAGACACCACCAGGTGCTCTCCAGAACACTAATCCCAAAGAAATGAGAACCGACGCTCGTGCACATGTGTGCACAGTGTCCGTGACGCTCTTCAGTGGTGGGTGAGGGAGCCAGGACATCCCTGGGGTGGCATCCTACATGGGACACGCAGATGGTCCTCCAGGGCTTGGGGGGGAGCCAGGACATCCCTGGGTGGCACGCGGATGGTCCTCCAGGGCTTGAGGGGAGCCAGTCTGGGAAGGCCACACGGGGAGCCTTCAGGTACGATGAAGCTGCAGGGGGCAGCCAGGCCGGGGGCTGGCTGCCAGGTGATAGGTGGGGTGGGCCTGGAAAGGGGCTGTGTGGGGCGTTCATTTCGGTGAGGGGCCTCTTCTGAATCTCGGTGGCTGTGGTGGTCACAGGAGCCTACATGTGTGATATGATTTCATAGAACTGTACACATCCCCCCAAAAGTGAAAAAGAAATACAGTGAAATAAAACTTAAGGTCAAAGAAATCTCTAAAACAATAATATCTGAGCACACGATTTCCATGCTGGCAGAAATGAAAGAAGAACAATTAAACCAACATCCTGGCTGAATTCAAAAAGGGCCAGGGAAGAATGGTAACCAGAGGAAAGGAGAACGGTACACAGGACAGTATGGCACTGCCACGCAAGGCCTCCCGATGGGCAGGCATCTGGAAATGCCCAGCAGACCAGGTGAGCACAGTTGGGTCAGGGAGCCCTCAAAACTCCAGGGGTGTCACGGGAGGGAGATGACACCCCTGCTCTCAGGAGAGACACTAAAACTTTAAGAACAGGGAAAGTTGAAAGTATAAAGACAGGCCCATCCAAAAAGATGCAAATCATGAATACGACATAGAGTCCAAATGAGTGAACTCAGAAACTTTGCAAGTTGAACATCCCTAACCCATAATCTGAAATCCAAAATTTGAAATTCTTCAAAATCTGAATTTGTTACACATCCTATCAGCACTCAAAAAGTTACAGATTTCGCAGCATTTTGGATTTGGGACTCTTGAGTTAGGGATGGTTCACCTGATACAGGGACTGTTGCAGGGACAAAGGGCAAGTGCACTTTGGCTCACAGCCTGTCACCAGCCCCAGGAGGCTTGGTGTGCATTACCCTCCACCAGCGTCAGCCCGGCTGCGTTGAGGTCAGGCTGCCCTGTGTGTGTCCTGAAGAGCTGCCGTGACTTATCTAGCACCGGGCATAATGTGAGCTGAGTGCCAGGTAACATCCCCAGCCCTGCAGTAACCAAGGAAGCTCCCTTGGGCCCAGTGGCCAGCTCAGCGACTCCCTGTCGGAGCTCTGTCTCCCTTACTAAGAGAAAGCCCCAGGGAGAACTTGCTGGTGGGTCT